GACCATAGAAGTACAGTATACATACTCCTGATGCTGCATGAGGGCTTCTAAGATGCGTCTCACTCGCTGCTATATTGCCAGGGGCGGTCTGGCTGTTCTAGTCCGATTTAATAGTAGGAAAACCCACATCACTGTGCTGCTTTTGGATCTTGTAATCTAAAAAGTGCTAGAACCAAACAGGGAATAATTTTTCACATCTAATCTGTTGTCTTCAAATATTTGTGCTTTGTGTCGGGCCCAACATGTGACCCCTTATGTGTTTTCTGTGGCATCAAGAATAAGAAAAAACACACAAAGTGAAACATCAGAGTATATTGTCTTTACTATGAAACCATCAGTGAGCGCTGAAGGGTTTGGGAATTATAAACCATTTAAAATTAGCATAAAAGGTAGAAATGTGCATATTCATGAAGTGGTTCTGAAAGGATCATAATATATAGAAATTCATTAATGTTAAAAATCCCCTAAATGTATCTTTGTCATTATCAAATGAACAACTTAATGAAATAGCCTATAAATAACACTACATGCTTTAATTTATTTTGCCAGTTATTGCAGACTTTACATGCTGACTATTATGAAGAAGTTGACTATACAGTATAAAAGGACAGGCTGTCAGCTCCCAGACGTGAAGCCACAACGATTCGATCGCCCCCTGGTGGCTGGTTGCAGTGTAGGTCATTAGTCTCACCTCCATGTTGGTGGATGCGACATGAGCCAAACTAAAACTCAAAGTATAAATCAAATACATTTCAAGAGGTGGTTTCTGTTGTACTTTATTACGCTGGTGTGTGAACAAGTGGTCATTTTTCATAGGTTTGTGGAGACAGATTGGCGCCACACACACACACACACACACACCAGGTGAAACAAGTGTCAGCCAGTGAGATACTGGTCTGACCTCCAAGGCCCTGCACGCTTCAGCTGGCAGCAGTTCATCCTCCTGAGTAGCAGGTGGCCTGATCAGACCCAACAAAATCCAGGTTTCCCATCCAATACTGGCTGGTTATGATGTCAGTGGAGGGAAAAAAAAGAAGCTACAAAACCTCCAGCTAAACATCTGTGACCAAAAGACTGCTGATGGTTTTTATTGTGTGTGAAGAGGTTTGCAGGAAAAAGGCTGAGACAGGTGAACAGGTAGAGCTGAGGTAGCTGGTACTGTCATGGCTTACAGTCAAAGGCCTCAATCATTGTCTTACTTTCGTGGGGACGCACCCAAATGTCACAGTGACACTGAAACGTCTGGAGAACACAAAGTGTTATTTTACATTAAATCCCAGCAGACTAGCTGCACTAGTCACATCTCCATCCTGCTCAGACTCACCTGCTGCAGAGGACCTTTAGGCTGGAAGTCACATTTGGACAGGTTGTCGTCATCTCGTTTATGACACACGGTTCTGGAAATCTTCAAGTCTATGACGTAGCGAATCCCATTCACGATCTGAAACACACACACAGCTTGACTACCTGGTAAAAGTGATGGCTACCTATGGTCACAGCTGGAGCAATAAAAAGAGTCCATGGTCTCCACTAATGCATCCACTGCCTGAAACACTAGATTAAGTCTTATACACTCTACACAAGATTTACAGAATACTGATCTGCCCTTTGACCCCACACGAATCCCATGTTTCCTGTGTGTTTGGCGCCACAGATGGCTGCCTTGGTTCTGTACCGGAAACAAATTCCTTGTGTGTAACGTACTTTGCCAATAAAGGTGATTATCCTTATTATCCTGTTACCTGTCTCTGAGCGCTGTCAATGGCGAAGGGTTTGAAGAGGAATGCATCGTTCGATTGGTTGTTGAAGGAGTAGATGCCGCTGAGGATGGCCTGCTGGACACCAGGGTCATTCTCACTCACATTGTACAGGGAGCCGGGCATGGTCCCGAAACTCACCCCTGGAAAAGGAGAAGAAGGAGGATCACCTCTGACCCCCACCATGCACAGTTTGTCCCCAGCAGTTGTTTCACAATGTTGTATGAACACATTAGGTTTGAGCCTCAGGTTTAATCAGACTTTTGAGGAGAACTGTGAAATGGTATGTAAAAAGGGTCAGCAACGTCTGCATTGCTTAAGGAAACTGGCATATTTTCATATTGACCGAACCTTAATGAATATGTTTTATCGAGCTTTTATTGAATCTATTTTATCGTTTTCTCTAGTGTCATGGTTTGGTCAGATAACGTTAAGACAGAGGAAATCCTTGGAGCAAGTAATTAAGTGGTCTAGTCGCTTGCTTGGGGAGTCACAGTTAAGTTTAGCAGCCCTGTACAGTAGACAGGTACAGAGGGTAGTTACTTCTATTCTGAATGATGACTCCCATCCCTCGCACTGCCACTTTCGGCTTCTTCCTTCTGGACGAAGGTTTGTCGTCCCGAGATGTAAAACGCAGCGGTATAGAAATAGTTTTGTCCCTGCTGCTGTTATAGAGTTAAATAGGCTGTAGTAATATATTGTAAGTAATTTTAGGTTTTCTTCAGATGTTTTATTTCTTTTATGTCCTGATTGGTGGAGCCCTGAGTACTTTTATTACGTTCGGTGTAGGCGCCAGGTTTATGTTATGTTTTCTATTCTTGTATTTTGTAAATGTGTCAAGGATGTCATTTGATCTGACTGCAAGACAAATTTACCTACGGGTATAAATAAAGTAACCTAACCCAACCTAAGACTTCTCAGCATCACAGGTTTTATGCAGTAAATCACGTGCGATTGAAGCTCATCATTTCAATATAGTTTTAAATTTTGACATAGTTTGTAATAAATTTGAATAGTGATAAGAGTAGCAGCCATGTGACAGCTCATAATGCTGGTACAGAAGGATTCATCTTTGTGGCGCAGCCTCTGTTTCCGTTCAGTGTCTTTTCTTGGCAGGCTTCCGCACTTTCACGAGTCTGAAATGTTTTATAAGAACATTTTTAAAAATTGGGGGAAACAGAATCAGTAAAAGTTGTGATTTTACCACGGCATCATCATTTTGAAGTTGAGTAATTATTTTGAATTAGTAGCTTTTAATGTGAAAGGTACTGTCTAATAATTTGTGACGTAGTACTGCATCACTATGTCAGCTGTTGGAGGAGTGCATGCTGGGAATGAACTGGGCAGCTTCAGGAGACAAACTGCAAGCCACTTGTGTTGTTACACAATGAGAACAGAGTGTGAAGCTGAGAAAACACTTCCTGGTTGCCTCATCAGTCTTCCTGCTGCACAAGTTTGCACACTAAGAAAAGTCACCTCAGTTTTGCTCTTCTTTTGTTCGCAGTGAAGAGAAATCTGTCTGGAAAATGGCTGCAATAGCTCATTTGTCTTTTAGCTGCTGAAGTTTTTGTTCCACTATCTGGTTTGACTGTTGAGAAAAAAGTACTTCTGGTGACTTTGCTGTTGTGGACCACACCGTTCTGGTGTCACTCTTCTGAAAAGAGAAGCTTCTGCATAACTAGATGAACAATGGTACAGAGATGTTCATGACAGTTTGAGGCCTCTTCACCCAGCGGTGGATTTGACTTTTAATACTTAAAACTAATGTGGCAGCTGAGCCAAAGGAGTTAAAATCCTGCTCAACGAAAAGAGGAAAGTCAACATAAAACCTGTTGAGCTGGTTTTGAAAATGATCTGGATTGAATTGAAAAATAAGGGAGACATATGGAGCCTTCAAAGTCACAACATTTACCACATTAAAACATGTTAAACCAGTGTAAATCCAGACTGGAACCAGGAAGTGTTGAAGTTTCTGTCTCTTACCCAGAGCAGCAAGCAGCAGCATGATCATCATCTTCAGCCCCATCACACTCTGTTTCTGTTTCCTGCAAGATAGCCACACTAACCACGAAGCAGCACAAACAGGCCTGCTGCAGAACCACCCCTTTTATTGCTGCAGGGATGTGTGACATCACTTCCTGTCAGTGGAACAACTTCCTATCAGAGTGTTTACTTAAGTCATAGTTAATACCTCTCTGGAAAAGTCCAGTACAATTAAGGTGTTACTTGCATAGTGATGCAGTGAGTATAACCAGGAAAATGTACTCCAAGTATTAACATTACTCAGTGCACAAAAATACCTTTGTTCATTGTTAGGTTATTTTGCTACTCATGTAAAAGCAGAATTCAGACTGTGGAGTTGATAGAATGGGGCCCAGGATTGCAAGTGACGAAGAGCCTCTCAGAGATGAACCTGCTGTCTGGTTCTTGGATTAAGCCACTGACTGAATTAAACCAATTCTAAAAACTGTGCAGCACGTTGAGAAAAGTGTGCTTTAAGTTCAGCAGAGAGAAGGGGCTCTGCCACAGCACCTCGTCTGGACCTCGCTTATCAAAAATAAATCTAAACTATTAAAATAACTCAAACAAGAAGAGGCAAATCATCACTTTTTTGAAGCTGGAGCCACAAAATGTTGGTATTTTATGTTAAAAACTGCTTTAAAACTAGTTTCTATTCATGTTTTGTAAATCAATTAATTCATTAATCATTTCAGCTTTGACTGTATTGGCAGTTTAATCAATACAAGTGAACTGATCACGTGATTGGTCAGCAAGGGAACAGCCAATCAGAGAGAGAGAGAGAGCCAGAGCGACCATACGGCCCCCATATTGTAAAAATTTACTCACAGGGATGCTACTCTATAAAAACAAATTCAAGGTTTGTTTTAGTTTTTTATTTATGTGAAATCTACAGGAACACACAGGCTAACACAGGAAATGAACAATATAATCTATTTTTAAAGTGTAAATACCCACAGTGGCTTCAGAAAGTATCCCGAGCCCTTCACTTTGTGTTGTAGGGTTAAAATAGTCTTCACCGAGCACATCAAGATCAGCTTGTTGTGTTGATCAGTCACGTCACGTAGCAATAATAATACAACAGTGCAATGGAGCACAGATCAACAGCAGGTGTATTGTAGGTAATGTAGGTAGAAGTTTAAAACGTATGTGTGGAATAAAAAGCATGTCTCTGGATCCACTTTTTAAACTGTGCCCCTGGGCCACAGTGAGAAAGGACCTGTACACTGCAGTCACAGCTCTTTTAGATTATTGATGACACTTTGACCAGCTGCAGGTAACTATACCCTTTATTAGGTACACCTGAATGCAGCCCAGCCATAGCATACAGTATCTTTAAGATGCTCATAGTGTTTCAGGTTTTGATGAAATTGTGCGAATGTATATATTGAATTTTATACTTTATCACTGAGCTCATCATTAAAGGAGCTGTTCCTAATATTCTGACCTTCTCATGTGTGTGACTAGGATAAAAACTAGACACACACCAGATGTGTTGTTTTTCTGAAACACTGCTGAGCTGTGTGGTGTCGTCTCTTGTTGTTCAGACTCGGAGCAGCACATCTCTCCTTTGAGCTCATTAAACTTTCATTTAATTGAATTATGGAACGGTGACATCAGTCCTGTGGAACCAGCTGCTGCAACCAGAGCTGGTGTTTCTGACAGCTCCATGTTTTATTTCTTTCAAACTCTCCCTGCACATCAGTGCGAAGGTGTTCCCTGCATTGATCACCTTCTCTGAGTCTGCAGATGCTTTTCACTCTTATACAACAGTCAGTCAAAGAAAACTTCAGTAGAAACTTTTAATATCAACTAGCAGTTCAACTTTTCTGTTATTTATTTTATATCAGTGGGACAGGATATGGTGTCTCCCAGCTACACCCCCCTCCATGACCCTCTGCTGCCTACAGCCTCCTCTTGTTATTCCAGCTTCTCCACCCTGTGTTGTCAAAGTACGGTCTGTAAATCAGCCCCGCCTGCCCCCTAGCCAAGGTTAGAAGAAGGGTTTTTCCAGCCAGTAGTCATGTCAAACAGCCATGGAGGAGCTCTGGGCAGCTAAAAGTCTGAACCAGCAGCTGTCAGAGAGAAGAGGTGGCGTCTTTAGCACAGAGAGAGTGGGACAAAGAAAGATCAACAACCAGGGTTAACATGGGTTTGACTGTTTGACATGGAGAGGGTTAAAAGCAGCCAGAGGACTCAGACTGGATCCAGATGTGGCCTTCTTCCTTCTGGATGTGTTAGCATCTAAAGCTAACCTGTTTTGTTTTGGTAGGGGGAGGTGGGTAGAGCAGTCATCTCCCAAATGGAAGGCTGAAGGTTCGAATCCCGGTGCCTGCAGTCCACATGTTGAAGTGTCCTTGGGCAAGACACTGAACCCCCGTTGGTTAGAGCCATTGCTTGAGTTGGCGCCGCCTCGATTCTGTACCGGAAACAAATTCCTTGTGTGTAACATACTTGGCCAAATAAAGGTGGTTAACCTTATCCATTAGCCACCTAGCCTGGTCAGGATTTTACCTTTGAATTAATATGATTTTAATTTGGGAGGAACTGGAGCTGTGTCACATCAGCA